CAGGTGGGGATCCTGGAGGGCAGAGGCCCCCGGGGCGCCCTCCTGTGTTGGGGGGCTTGCACAGCACATCCTGCCGGGTGGTGAGAGGGGGGGCAGCCCCTCTGATGGGCCTGAGAGGGTCCAGTGGCCCTCCTGGCACCCGGCCGCCCACCCTGATGCATGTCGCCTTGCTTCCCCAGGTGGCGAGGAGGCGTCTGAGGCAGGGCTTAGAGAGGAGAGAGGCACGCAGAAGAGCCAGTGCTCAGACCTTTCTGGAGAGGAAGCTGAGGCCAGGGGCGCAGAAGGGCTCGAGGCCATAGTGTAGCGATGCCCCTGCCCTTGCCCCCCGCGGTGCCAGCCGGTGCCGGAGAGGCCGGGCCTGGGTGCCTGGCCACCGACCCTCCCTGACCCTGCCCAGGTGTCTGAGGGCGGCCAGGGCAGCTGTCCCACCCCCAGTGTTCACCGTTCTGTCCTGGGGCCGGTTTCACAGGCTCCCATCATAAAGGTTTGCCCCGCTGTGCCTGTGCGGGTGACGCTCGTCTCCCTTTTCTCCCTTTTCCCTGGCTCGTTTGCCAAATGTTAGATTTTGATTGTAGACAAACCTGGTGTGCGGGGGTGGCCTGTGTGGTGTGTGGGGCCCCCGGGGACACCCCACTAGGCAGTAATGCTGTGGGCCCAAAGCTGTTTTCCTGGCAGAGCTGGGGCGGGGTTCAGGCATCCCACTTGAGCAGGTGTGCTTGGGGGTCTGAGATGCCCGTTCTGGAGCTGGACCCCAAGTGGCAGTGGCTTTGGCTCAGCGGTAACCCTGTAGAGTCCCAGGAGGTGATGCGTGCTTGGTGTCTGTGGCCTTGTAGATGTCCTCTGTAGAACGGGAAAGAGGTGTCCTGCCTCTCAGAGGTGCTGGGCTCTCGTGTCGGGACCTTGGGAGCGGCCCTTGCTGGCGGGCCATCTGCTGTCTCAGCAAGGTGGTGTGAGCACTCTGCCTGATGCCCAGACCCCTGACTGTGTGTGTGAGAGGCCAGGAGCTGCCTGTTGTGGCTGGGGAGGGCTCGTGCCACAGCAGCTCTCCGGCTGGAGTCCGACGCCTGACTGTCCATCCGTGGTAGAAGGAGCAGAGCCTCTCCTAGGACCGCTGACGCTTTCTCGGAGCCCTCGTGGGTCCACAGTGGCTGTGCTGAGGCCTCGTCCCCTCCTCACTGCAGTCCCAGTACTGTGGTCGCCCTCAGAGGCTCTCAGCTGCTTGGCCTTGGTCTCCTGGGACTGTCCCCACTGTGGGGGTCTGCCTCCTGCCCTGAAAGCTGGGTGACAGGCCTTGGGCCAGAGGTGTGGGTGGTTGTGGGCGATGCTCCAGTCCTTTGAGGATCACGAGGCCAGATCCTCTACCCACCCCCCTGCCCCGACCCGCAGCCACAGTGGCTGTGCCCGTAGCTGGGCTCCAGGTGGCCTGTGCAGAGCTGCGGGGCTCAGTGCCTGCGGGGCTCCTCCCCTGTCATAGCGGGGCTCTTGACCCCACACAAGACCTCTCCCTGGCAGAAACCTGTCAACAGTGACGAGCTCTGATCTAGGATGCCTCCTGTGTGCATAGGGGTGGCTCACGGCAAGTTCCAGAAGCTGCTGAGTCAGATACTGGAGACCTTTGGCCTAGAGGGGGCTCTGTGCTGGCAAAGAGGCGGACTAGAGGCGGCGGAGGGCAGCTTCCCACCCGAGTCCGGGGAGGGTGGGGTGTGGGCAAGAGGCCAATTTTCCATGTGTGCTGAATGAGCTATGCGGACCCTGGCAGGTGGGCTGACCCCTGTGTGCCCTCCTCCTCCTCCTCCCACCACACTTCAGAGCACAGGAGTGAGGCAGTTGTGCTGCTCCAGGCCTGTGACCCCGCTGGACGCCAGCAAGGGCCGGTGCTGCCTGGTAGCGAGTAGGGGCACAGCAGGCCCCTGGCTCTGATCTCTTCATCCCGTGCCCAGTATGGGGAGCTGAGGCTGGCCTCAAGGGGAAAGATGAGTGTTGCCCACCTGGCCTGAACCCAGCCCCTCTCAGCCCCACAGGGCCCAGTGAGGTCTGGCCTCCACACAGGTGAGCGGGCCCAGCATAGGGCCCTGTGCCCCGGGACCCTGGTCCTCCACCATGTGCTGGGGTGGAGGGTGAGTGGGACAGGCCAGGCCCTCCTGAGCGCAGAAACCTGGCTCGCACAGGGGCAGGCGTGAGCGTGGGCTGGGCACCCCCTTGGCTGGCCAACTCCACGAGGGCATTTATTTTTCTAGCTGGATGAGGGACCCGCAGGCAGGACCTGGGTGGGCAAGGTGGGGCAGGTGGTAGAGGAGCCTGGGCCTGGCTGGCTGGAGAGGACCTAGGCCTGGGGATTGGGGTGGGGCAGGGGGCACAGGTAGTCGGCCTCAGGCTCCCATCAGCCCACACTCGCCCTCTCCCTCCTAGGACAGGTCCCAGAAGAGGAGTCTGGGCAGAACGGGCAGAGCCGGGGCCTACCCAAAGTGCTGTGCGCCAACGGCACCGAGTCAGCGCCGCTGAGCACCAGATCCAGGGCAGAGCGCCGGGCCAGCGCTGCCTCCAACCCCACCCGCAAGGCCTGCTCCGCCGGCAGCAAGACCCGCAGGCTGTCAGCCTGCAAGCAGCAGTGAGGGCGGCCGCCCACAGGTGGGCCGCTGCAGGGGCCTTGGGGTAGGGTGGGGACCATGCGCAGGCCCCGGCCGCTTGTGGCCTGACACAGCTGCAGCTGCTGCTGGCCGGGGCCACCAGGTCTGCCTTCCCTGCTCTGTCAGTCCGCGCCCACAGCCGGCTGGACCCTGGCCAGGCAGCCTGGGCTGGGGTAGCCGTTCCCGCGTGCAGGAGGGGGTCCCTCCCGCTGGCAGCCTGTCCTGCCAGTCCTGGGCGATGCTGGACTCCACCCAGCGGCATATGAGGCACTGTGGGTGGGTGGTGGGTGGGTGGGAGGTGGGGATGGCTTCAGTTTGGCCTAGGCTATGATCCTGGTGGCTGCTCTGCCGCCCTCTGCTTCCCGCTCCCGCCCCTGCCTGTCTGAGTCCGAGAAGGTGTGTGTGGTGGGAAATCGGGCCGCAGGGGAGCGGGAGATGCTGCTCAGGTTGCAGGGGGGTGCCCTCTCAGGGGAGCTGCCCGCCGCCCCAGTGGCCCTGTGGTGCTTACCTGCCGGCATCAGAACCAGCTCGGAGGGCTGGGAACCCAGCTTCCTCTGTGGAGGCTGGTGCGAAACTCCACTGGGCAGCGCCTGAAGGACAGGGTGACCCCTGGAATCAGCACTACCTTTCCTGGCCTCTCTGGATGGCTGACAGCCCTATATGAGCAGGCCTCAGTTTCCCCGCCCTAACACCAGGGTGGGGCCTGCCTCCTGGGATGCAGAGCCTGTTTGCTGGCCCAGGAGTGACCCGTGTGTTCCGTCTGCAGCCTGTCTCATGGAGCCCCAGCCAGGTGCGGCGGCCCAGGTCCTCAGTCTTCCCGCCGACTGCTGGCCCACACCTGCTGCCCAGGAAGGCCACCGCCATACCCTCCTTGCCGACTGCCCCTCGGGAAGCCACGGGTCTTGGAGGGCTGTGGCTGGGGGACTGCAGGGGCTGGGGTCTGGCCTTCCACTCACGGCCAGCAGACACGACCTCTTGATGACTCTGCAGCCATGTGCCGGGCCCCTTCCCCTGGCCCGAGGAGGAGGACGTGTGGCAGCCCGCGGCCCGGCGGGAAGCCCTTGCTGTGCACTTTATGTTCAGACCTGCTGGCTCTCGCCCCGCCCGGACTTCCTTTCACTCTGCTCCACGCTGGCGCCTCCCACAGCCGGTGGTGGGCTCAGACCACAGCCTCGGCAGGAGCCGCAGGAGGAACAGGCTTGCCTGCCAAGATGCATGCCCCGAGCCCAAGGGAGCTGGGCCGCGGCCCTGTTGTTGCTGTTTGGTTGGTTTCTTTTCCTTTTTTCTTTTTTTTAAGAAAAAATAAAGCCGGTGGATTTGAGCTGTGGTTGTGAAGGGTGTGCGGGAATTGTGGGGCGGCACCGCTGTCCTACAGGCAGTGGGTCCGAGTCCGAGCCCCCTCGGTAGACCTCCCAGCCCAGCGGGCAGGCAGGTGGTGGGACCTGGGTCCTCCTTGGGGGTCAGCCTTCAGCCGTGCTGGACATCAGTCCTCTCAGTGGTGACCGGTCTCCCCAAAGCTCAGCAGGACCCTCAGCGCAGCCCCGGGGCCGGCCAGTGCCCAGTGCGGTGGCCAGAGGACTCCCTGATCGCTGGACCCCCGCCCCGTTTCCGAGGGCTCTGTGCTCCTGGGTCCCCAGAGAAAACCGGGACTAAACGAGCGTGTGCGGTAAATATTTATAATCAACCAGAAAACAAACACGAGAAAACACCATCACGGGATGGAACACAGACGGCAGGAAGCTCCGAGGGACGGGACGGGGTGTGGTGGGGCGGCCGCAGGCGCGGGCGGCCCCATCTTTTGGCAATAAATAAAGCTCGGGAACCTTGAACCCGTGACCGTTTGGGTTTCGTGTGTCTCCAAACGCGAGTCGTGGCAGCTCTTTGGATGGCGGCGAGCGGCCCGCTCACATGCTTGGGGCGGGCGCGGGGACGAGCGGGCGGCGGGCGGGTCGGGGTTTATTGCTCAGGGGGCGCCAGGGGTCGCGAGCACAGGCCGCGGTGAGGTAAACAGCTTCGGGGCCGGGGCGGCTGCGGCCTCCACCCACCCGGCCAGCCCAGGGCCAGCGCGGCCGGCTCCCGCTCCGCCGCGGTGCGGTCCCAGCTCGGCGCATGCGCCCCGCGGCAGACTCCCGCGCGTGCGGCCCGGCCCCCTCGAGGCTCCGTGGGCCCCACTCGGGGCGCCCCGCGCATGCGCTTCACTCGGCTCCTCCACCCGGACCCTCCCGGGTGCGGGTACCAGCGCGCACCTCCCGGCGTTCTGTGCGAAAGACGCCCCAGCGCCGGGGCTGCCGTCGAGGCCAAAGGTAGATGGAGAAGCGGCCCCGCTCCCTCCGGTCCAGGCCCGCACGCTGAGGAGCCACGGAGGGTCCCGACTCCGTGCCGGGGATGGGGCTGTGCGCGTGCGCACCGGAGGCCGCTCGAGGGTGACCCGAGGGCGAGAGCGCGCGCACCGGGGGGCGGCTGGAGGCGCGTCCCGCGGCGCGGGCCCCGAGCGGCGCCGAGAAGCTGATGAGGCGGGTGCGGGGCGCGGGGCTTAGGCCGGGCTGTGGTCGGGAGACGTCGGCGCGGCGGCGGCGGCCAGCGCGGGAGCCGCGGCGATGGGCTGGGCGAGGCGCGGCGGGAACAGTCTGTCGTCGAGGCCGGCCGCCAGCTTGTCCAGCAGCGTCCCCGGGGGTCCGACGCACAGGCCCGAGCCGGGGCAACTGCCGCCGCCGCCGCCGCCGCCGGGCTCCTCCTCGATGACTGGAATGGCGGGCGCCGCGGGGTCCTCGCCCACGCGGCCCTCGGAGGGGCAGTCGACGCTGTCGCCGCGGCGCAGAGGCGCGCGTGGGGGCCGGGGGTCTGGGCGGAACGGGGGCGCGGGGGGGACGGGCGTGGCGGCGCGCGCGCCGGGGTCGCTGTGCTGCCGGCCGCGCTGCTGCCACTGCTTGCGCGCGTGTGGGTGCGGGTGCGCGCGCGCGCGGTGGCGGGCGGCGCAGGGCAGTGCGTCGTCGAAGTGCGGGTCGTGGCGCAGGAACTCGTGGAAGAGCGCGTCTGTCTTCTCGTCGATGCTGTAGTCGCGGCGCGGGGCGCGGCGGGGCCAGGCGCGGGGGCTGCGGGGTCGGGCGGGCGCCTCCGTGGGCGCCAGCGCCCCCTCAAAGCTGCTGCCCACAGTGGCCGTGCGGCCGGCGCTGGTGAAGGAAGAGCGCTTCTCGGACGCGCTGGGCAGCCCGTCGTCGCCCGCGCTGCGGCCCTCGATGCTGGCGTAGCCGCTGTCCATCTGAAGCAGCTTCCGCGGACCTCCGGCCTCGCCGTCCGCGGATCGCGGTGTGGGCGGCGGCGAGGGCGGCGGGAAGGCGGGCGCGGTGGTCCCGGAGCCCGAGCCCGAGCTGTCGCCACTGCGCACCGAGTCGCGGTCGTTGCCACTGCTGCTGTGGTCTGAGGCGGCGGCGGCATGCAGCTCGAGGGAGGCGCGCAGGCTCCAGATATCCCGGTAGCTGGTCTGCGCCTGCTCGGGCCCCGAGTCCCGCTCGCCATCGGACTCCTGCTGCTGCAGCTGCTCAGGCCCCACGCCGCCGCTAGACTCTGGGGGAGACTCGGGGCTCGCTCCTCCCGCGGCGCCCACCTCCTCGGCTGCCTCTAGCCTGCAAGCCAGGCCGCAGCGGTCAAGAAGGCTGTGCACGCCCCTGCATTTTCTCCCCAGCCCCCCTGACTCTGGGTCCGGAAGGGCGGGCATGGGTGGGGACCCCCTAGGCTTGGCCAGGCTCTGCGGAAAATGAATTTTTTTTTTTTTTTTAAGAAAAATGTTGCCAGTCCCTGTCGCAGGGTATATTTTCTGGGTAAATCTGAGTCTTCCTGGCACCTGCTTCTCAACCAGGTCACTTTGTAGTGTCTCAGCCCAGCACCTGCTCGTAGCATAGGTGGCAGGCTCCTCACCTGGAGAGAGGGACATTGTCCTGTGGGGCTGCTTTCTTCCTAACATCTCAGTGTGGAAGGGACTGGCTGGGGATGGACTGGATCAGCGGTAGCCCCACTCAGCCTCTAGTCCTGGACCTTACCACCCCACTGCTCCCATCCAGCAGGGCAGTACTGGGGTGCTGCTGGCAGAAGGGGTCACAGTTTCTGAGAAAGGGCCATGCAGCTGTCAGGAACACAGGCAGGTGGGAAGGAGCACCAGGCCACAGCAGAGCCCATCAGGCCATGGACCCCACCGGGAAGCGGTAACATCCAAGCAGGCACATGCCCCTCACAGCCCTGACTGGGCAGGCATCCTGTCTTGGGGACCCTGGGGCCATCGTCCAGGGCCCCACCTGCCCTTCTGCCCTTCCCCTGTCTCCCCCTGTTTCCCTCTTGGGATGCATGCTGGAGAGGTGGACCCAGTGAGGCAGCCTCCAGGAGGGCTGGCGGAACCGGAGGCTCGGAACCCCGTGTCTGCAGGGTGAGGAGAGCCCTCCCCAGGGCAAGGGGGAGGGGACTGAGGGGGGCAGGGGCCCACAGGTCCACCCCTAGCACTTCTATCTACTGAAAAATACCTGCCGAGGGTGGGGGACGGGCTGGTGGGGCTGGCCAGAAAGGGGCGGGGGGGCGGGAAGGCCACAGCGGCGCCTGCGCTGGCAATGTACTGGATGAAATCCCCGTGGGGGGCGTCCCCCTCCTCCTGCTCTGTGCTCTCGCTGGCTGCCCGCTGCCGCTGGAACTGGTGCCGCTTGGGGGAGCCTGTAGAGGAAGGCGCGTCAGCCTGGGTCCAGGGGAGGGTTCCCCCCGCTCTGCGGTGGGGGGGAACCGAGGCACAAACAGGTGTGAGTCGGGTTGTCCAGGAGGTAACAGTACTCCGGAACAGCTCTGGCCGAAAACATCCGGCCCGAGCCAAGACCCGCGCTGGCCCCCCAAAGTGAATCGCAGAACGGAGTGTGCAGGACAGTGATGGACAGGCTGGCAGGGGCCGGGGTGGGGCGGTCCTTCTTTTGCCTCTGCCCAGGGGCCCCCTGCAGGGCCTGGGAGAAGCTTGGGTGGGAAAGCTGCAGGCGTGGGGAGGCCAGTCAGCCGGCAGACAGGTTCCGGGCACTTGTGCACCTACGTTCCACTCTAATCATCCTCAGGAATCAGGGCCTCCATCTCTGCTCCCAAAGGCAGTGGAGTGGGCTATCCTCTCCCTGCGCTAGCTGGAGCCAGCCCCCAACACGGGGGCTTGTGCCTTCTCCTCACCTGTCCTGGCACTGGGGCCCACCCCCGCAGGCAGCAGGCGGCCCCGCAGCCTGTCCTGTCCTGGCCGAGTCCCCCGGAAAGGGATCCATAGAGACGTCGGTGCCCACCTCCCCAACCCCAGACACAGGCTCCTGCTTTGGACTGGGGACGAGGAAGCCCTGTGTCCTGGGCTCTCCATGATCTGGGCTCTGCGAGATTGAAGGGCTGGTCTCAGTAGTTCAGGCCTGTGGATGCTCAGGCCCAGCCCCGGGGCCGAGCGGGCCTGCAAGCTGTTGCTGTAAATAAAGTTTTATTGGCGCGTATCTACACTCATTTATACGCAGTCTGCAGCTCCTTCCACGCTGCCACACCAGACAGGCTGACGACAGATCCAAAACCACTGTTGTCTCGTGCCTTGCAGGTCACCGGTCTGCCAACCCCCTGCTTCACTGGGGCCCAGTGTGCGACCCAACCGGCTGGGAGCCCTTGGGCAAGATGCCTGCCGGCAGACAGGTGCCGCCGGCCAGCATGGGGCACGCGCCTGGGGTCCGAGAGCACTGACCCCTCCCTGGGTGTGAAACCTCCTTCTTGAAGGCTGCCTGGGGCAGCAGTGGGAGCTGTACCCCCCAGGGCCCCTTTTCTGCCAAGGGTCCCATCTTACCTCTAGTGTCCAGACTGGATGCCCGTTGGCTGGGGTCCAGCTTCCATTTCTTGACCTTGAAGTAGGGGCTGGCCCCGTCTAGGCTGGCGTGGCGCCGCAGCCGGGTGAAGAACTGCAGGACGGGTCCGGCCCCAGAGCCAGGACCTGCCTCCCCGCGCCCGGCCTCCCTGTGCCCCGTCGCGGGCCCTGGGCCGGCAGGCTTGCTGCTCCTGGTACCTGGATCCAACTGGAAGAAAAGAGGAATGCTCTCAGGGCCCTCTCCTTGCTGCCCTGCATGCTGGCTCCAGCCTAGGCCCAGGTCTGCACGCTAGTGGGCAGCCCGAGCAGACCGTGCCACCGCGCCCCACCCAGAACGTAGAGCAGCAGCAAAGGGCGCTCAGTGGCAGGCTGGAAGCTACGCTGAGCTCGGGTTCAGCCAGGCGCCGGCCAGACCTGGTCCTCCCAGCCCCAGACAGAGGGGTCACCTAGGGTGAGCGTCCGCGAGCATTCGCACCCTGGCGCGGGCTGGGTCCTGACCTGCCCCTTCCAGCCGCTGGAACACTCTGTGCGCGTGAGGGGTGGCTGCGTAGTCTACGTGCCGCCTACCCCTCTTCTTCCCATGCAGGAGGTCAGGCAGGAGCAAGGGGAGTGAGGGTGGGGGAGGCCACGGGCTGACCTCTGTCCTGGAGTGGGGCAGGGAGGGGAGGGGCCGCTCGGGGGCCCTCACCCAGGTGCCTTCCCCGGAGTCGCTGGATGCCAAGGGGCTGATCTCGAAGTCAGCAGGGCCCACGGCTGAGTTGTAGGGGTCACCTGGCAGGGCGGAGCTGGGGCCCACGGAGTGGCCGGTGAGGGCCTTCCCCGGGGGCTAGGGGAGGAAGCAGTAACAGGTCAAAGAGCATGGGTGGGTGAGGGGGACTGCTGGACCCACAGCCCACTGTGCACCCCAGCCAGGCCCCCCTCCCCTGTCCTAAGATGAGGGGCCCAGCCCAGAGAGAAAGGGACCGCCAGCAGGGGCGCTGTCCTGTCCACTGAGCCCCAAGCCGGCTGCCACCCCTACACTCACCTGGAAGATGGCGAGGTTGGCCTTGGGGGCGGCGGTGGCGTGGGGAGGGGTGGCTGCACCGGCTTCACCCAGGTCGCACTCATGGATTGTGACGATCTTGAGGGGCGGCAGGTGCAGGTGGGTGAGGCGGGCATTCTTCAGGTGGTGGAAGTCCCCCTCCGTCAGGGTGTACCTGCGCCCAGCATGGCTGCCAGTCACCGTGCCAGCCAGCACCCCGCCCCGCCCCACGCTCGGCCCTCCATTGGACAGCCTGAACCCCCAAGCCCACACCTGCTGTCCCTGGCTCCACGGCCCACCCCGTCAATTCTGGGGGAGAGCAAGGCCAGCGCCCAGCACCCACCGCTCAGGGAGCGCAGTCACAGGGCATCAGGCTCTGGGACATCCCTTAGGGACCGGGTCCCTTCCTGCCGTGCCGCCCCTTACCTGCGGCCCTTGTCCTGCGACTTCCGGCTCTGCTCAAACAGGGCAGCCTCGTTGAAGGACACCCGGCGGCCGGTGGAGCTGGTGGACAGGAAGCGCTCCGTCTCCGCGTCCTGGCCCTCAGGGTCCTCCCCCCTGAAGTCGGGGTCTGCGAGGAGAGCCGAGAGGGTGGGCCCCGGGCGGGCCGCGCCTGGCGCTGGGCGGGCGGCCGGCCGGGGCGGGGCGGGGCGGGGCTGGGGCGGGGGGCGGGGCCCGGCGGGGGCGGGGCGGGCACTCACACATCCGCTCACACACTCACTCGCTCAGCACGCGCCTGTGAGCACCTACGCGCGGGCTCTAAGGAAACAGAGATGAGTCGGAATCGAGCTGCGCCCAGTCTGGTGGGGGAGACAGACAGACACAGCCGGTCAGGCGGCCCGAGGGGGCGGGCGGGAGGGCGGGCAGGTGGGCAGGGGCGGGCCTGGCGGGGCGCCGCACCTTGGGCCGGGCGAGCGCCATTGTCCAGGTAGGTGGTGGCGGTCTTTTCCGCTTCCTCCGTCGCTCTGGGGAGATAGCGCAGGACAGCAAGGTGGGTCGGAGGGCCCACCTGCCGGGACCCGAGTTCCCGGGGCCAGGCCCCGGTGCAGACACACCGTGCTCCCCAGGCACTCAGAAGCAGGCCCCCAACACCACACGGGCTGACATTCACGCCTGCTGTCGGCACGCACGCGCGTGTGCGCGCTCGCACGGTCCCCCGGCTCCAGGCCCGCAGGGGCCCCTGGGGTGGGTGTACTGCGCACCTGTTGAAGCGCGGGTGAGCCTCCCAGCAGCGCCTGCACACGAGCAGCACGCCGGACAGCACCACTAGCGTGCCACCAACGAAGAGCGACATGACCACCACCAGCAGCACGTAGTTGTCCAGGATGGGGTCAGGCTCCGCCTGTGGGCCAGCAGGGGTCAGGACCGCCGGGCGTGGCCTCTGGAGGCCCGCCTGGCCCAGCCACCCCACTCCAAACCCCTCACTCACGGTGGGGCTGCCGGTGGCGTTGTCCCACCTCGAGGTCAGGGCGACGGTGGCAGCGGTGCTGGCGGCCGTGGCCATGGTGGGCGTGGGCTGCATTTTGAAGCTAGGAGGAGGGGCCTGGTGGGGGGCAGGGCCTGCTCAGACCAGCTCCTCGGTCCCCTCCCTCTCCTAGCTCCCAAGGAGTGGGAGTAGGAGTCCACACCGGGCAGTGACTCACGGGGAGGTGGAGGAGAGCCCCGAGGCAGCCCCCACCCCGCTTAGATCAACGCGGGGACCTCCGTTTCCCCATGTTTAGAACGGGGGAGGTGTATGCTATCCACCACCTCCCCAGCCGGTGGGGCCGGCCCAGCAAGGCAGCAGCTGGCCGGGAACCCTGCCCAGAAAGGGGAAAGCAGTCCTAGGAGGAACGGGGACACTGAGGCTGTTGGCTCACTACCGGGAGACCCCAGGGGCCCTGCCAGCCGCATCGGAGGAGAGGAGGGGCCTGCCGCAGCCCCGGAGACTGGTTCTACAGGGAGTGGTGCCAGGATTGTGGAGCGGGGTGCAGGGACTGAGCTCAGTGCCTACAAGTCACAACTCCGGGAGGTAGCTGTCCCCCTCCACCCAGTGCTAGCGGGAGCGAAAAGGCCAAAGAAGGCGCATCTGTTCCCAGCCCTGAAGAATCCGGTTCCCATGGCGACTGAGCGAGCAGGCCGAGCGGGGAGGGGGGGTGTTGCCAGGGCGCACTGGGGGAGAGGAGGGGGTGCGGGGGAGGGAGGCCTCCTGCAGGGCGGCTTGAGCCGGTCCTGGGTGGCAAGATGGCTGCTGCAGCCGCCTCCCCGCCAGTGCCCAGCGCGGGGCCCTGCGCCTCCACGAGCAGCTCCTCTAGCCAAGCACGCCAGCCTCCACGTTTGCTTTGGGCTCGGGGTAAACTGAGGCCGGGGAGGGGAGCTCAGCCCTCGGGAAAGGGGCTGCCTGGAGAGCGCACCTGCCTGCCCTCCCCTACGCCAGCTCCTCCCGGTGGGAAAGACCCGGGACTGCACTCTGTAATCTCGGGCAGCAGAGTCTGGGCCGGGGTGCCCCACAGCCCTGAGTAGGCAGGGCGCGCGTTCGGCCTTTCCCCAGAGGAGAGGGGGAGCCTGTGCACGCTCCCGCGTCCCCGGCCCCTCCGGGTTGTAACCCCACTCGACAGCGGGGGGAAACAGGCCCCGAGAATGGGGGCGGGGAGCAGGGCCTGGCGAAAGCCAGGTGTTCTCAGCGCTAGGTCCCAGAACGACCGAGGCTGCCTGGTATCCTCAAGGGGATGGGGCGCGCAAAATGTAGGTCGGGAAATGAGTCCCGGCTGGGGGAGGGGGCAGAAGCGCAGGGGCCGTGACAGGAGGCCAGAAAAGATGGCAGGAAGCCGAGGGGGGAGAGAGGTGGACTCCTAGGGGTAGGCGGGGACCAGACCCGAGGGCGGACGTTCCCCACGGGCCCGCCCCTGAGGTCCAGCCGGTCCTTCCCGAGCTCGCTCGCCACCGCGCCCATCCCTGCGCCCCCAACCAGCCCCGGGGACGGGATGGCGAGCCCTCACGGAGAGGCAGAGAGCCGGGCTCCGGGCACATCGCCGCTTCGGGCTAATCCAGGAGACGGAGACGCCATCGCGCTCGCTGCATCTCAGGGGAAACTGAGGCCGGGCAAGGGCGTGGGCGGGGGGGGGCGTCCCTCTCTAGGCCGAAAACGGGGGATGCAGAGCCCCGCGGACTGGCCCGCACGCCCGCCCCTGCTCCCCCCACTCCCTCCCTCCGGCCTCGCCGCGTCGCGGAAAGGGCGGGTGGTCGGGAGCCGGCGGCGATCCCACGGGCCGCGCGGCCTTGGCCTGCCCCCGCCCGCCTTGGCGTATCCCCGGGCCCGCCGCGCCTACCTCAGCGCCAGGGCGCGCGGCCCATGGGGGGCGGGCGGGCGGCTGCGCGGCGTTCCCGGCGGGCTCCGGTGCCCGGTGGCCGCGGAGCAGGCGGAGAATTTATGAATGGAGAGCGCGGCGCGCGGGGGAGGCAGGCGCAAGAGGAGGGACCGCGCACGTGACCGCGTTGGCGGCGAGCCCGCTCCGACCCGCTGGGTGCCACCCGGTCCCGGGCCGACCGCCCCCGCCGCGTTCGCCGCCGCGTCTGGCTCACTGCGCGCGGGCCACCGCCTCCCCTTCCCTTCCGGCGGGAGTGGGAGGCGGAGCTTGCGCTCCCGGACGCCCCCTCCCCACGCCGAGCGGCTCTCCCGGCGGTAGCTGAGTCTCCACCCCCTCCCCTGCGACACAGCTTCTGACCCTTCCCAGGGTCCGCAGGGACGGGGAAAGAAGGGGAGGAGTCCCGTCCATTGGTTTCCCTTCCTTCGCCTCCCCCAACCTGGGAGTCCCCAGGATGCACAGTCTGGGGGGTGGGGTTGGATATATGCCCCCGCCCC